TTCTTCTCCTCTACTATATATATATATATATATATATTAATGAGATCCTTACTTTGGGTGCAACTCTTTTTTCTTTCTTTTTTTAACATTAACGCAAAAATTTCCATTAAGCAAAGAGAATTACAAAGGATGAAAGGAAACAAAAGAGATCGCTAGAAATACGTGACCACCAACGAAGCATGGTTAACACCTCTCTTTGGGTGCAACTCTTTTTTCTTTTCTTTTTTTAACATTAACGCAAAATTTTCATTAATCAAAGAGAATTACAAAGGATGAAAGGAAACAAAAGAGATCACTGGAAATAAGTGACCACCAACGAAGCATGGTTAACACCTCCCTTGACTAAAGCATCAGCTTCCATATTAGCCTCCTTATAATTGTGGCGAAGTTCCGCATTCAATGAAGGTAGAATATCCCGAATCTCATGAAAAATTGAAGTTAACCTCCATGACATATTGGCTTCTTCTTTACTCCATGCTATAATATTCCCCAAGTTTCTTTCTATAATTATTTTGGGTGCAACTCTCAAAGACAATCGTCACTAAAGATAGGTAAAAGTACATATTCCACTTTTATGAAACTAAGAGAGGAAGAATTTGTGAGTCAGCTTCCACTTTCATAGAATGGTATAGTTCCCAAATATGTTTAAACAGTTAAGTGAAGAAAACCAAGTCATTTTTTTCATTATAGGATATTCACCCACTTCAAGGTACCAACTAGAGTTGACGAGCTAAAACTATTATATCATATCCATTATTTCATGTTCAAAAGTAGGCTAGGGTCCATAACATAGGGGAAACTCATGGGAAATTGACACAATTAAAGTAAGAAAACAAAAATAGCAATAATAGGTCTTCTCTTTTATTTATAATGAGAGTTTCAATTCATGCAGTTAAGATTGAAGAGTGATGGCTAGAGCAGTGATAAATCTTTTTTCACTCTCTTCTTTTCTAAAGCTTTACAATTAAGGGAAATGTGAAACTTGAATCATATTACCAGTTACATATGTACTAAATAAACTTACTTTGATGAGTTTTTATTTTCTTGCATTTTTTAGGCTTTAACAACCATTTAACCTCAAAAACAGCACTTTGGAGAATGCTACTGTTAGCCACATGGCTCTCTCTCTCTCTCATAGAGGGGGAATGAGACAGAGAGAGAGACTCATCTCCTTTTCAGTTTGGAAAGAAAGTATGTATGTGTATGGAGAGGGTATGTATTGAACCATTTGGAACTCATATTATATATTGATAAATCCAAGAGATGAAGCCATAATATCTCTTAATGAATATGAATTTTCCAGGAATGAATACGAGCATGTATACATACATGCTTGAATATTCACATGTTTGCATGCCATAATAGCAACTTAGGGTTTCAAAACTCTCACAAAATTACAAATTGCTCATGCGTTTGGTATGATAACATATCCATGGATTCTTAGAATTTGAACCCAAATGACATATACAAAACAACATCATTATCTTTGCACCAAAATTGTAATGGGGGATGCATTAAATTAAGGCAATGATCCAAAATAAAATATGCACCCAAAATGCATCATTTTCCTAAAGTGGTACAGTCTACATTTAAAGAAACCAATATAGAATAGATCACACACAATATTGGAAAATGAAATTGGGGATTGAAAGTCGTGTATAAACCTTTAAGAGATGCCCATGTCACAAATGCAGCCTGAAAGACGAGCGTTAAATGAGTAGAAAAATGAGATAAAAAAAAAAAAACTAATTTTTTTATAACAATAATAATAATAATAGGTCTAGTTTTTTGGGATTGTTGCTCTGATAAATTATAGATTAAAATTAGTTTAACAACTCAAAGGCATTGTATTTAAATAATTGTAGCGTTTCATTAGTGCACAAAAACCTATAGTAACGTACATATTACATTGGAATGGTTGCATGTTTAGTTTATATTGCTTGCTGCACTAATTGTGGTTAAATGATAAAGAGACCACTCATTATTGAGATAAAATACATACCCTGTCCCCCTCTCCATTAAAAAAATGGCTGATAAATAAATGAGTGTTTCATTAATGAAGAATAGAAGAAATATATAAACCAAGAAACCACATAAAATCTCACTAAAAGATCTTAAGAAAGCTTAGCTTAATGGGATATCTGTCTAATACTTTTTTACTCATATAAAATCATGACAAAAAAAAATGTTTATTTGTAGTAACATCTGATAGTATCTCATAATTTTTTCTCCATATTTTTATTTATATTAACATCTGATTGTATCTTATAAGTTTTCTCCATATTCTTGCTTATCATAAAACTTAAGTGACTCCCAAAATATTTCTTCCTTTACATGTATATGATAAAGTAACTCAAATTTTAAGATAAAAAAAAGTCACCCATGATATCCCATAACATCAACTTGCCGGAAAATATCACGATACCAATCATTCTCGACCATACCGATCAGAGAATCCTATTTCAAATTAGAGTCATTTCTTAGAAAATTGGTGAAAACCAGCATCAAACCCATCAGATTCATTTTTAGATGAAAGAAATCAGCCCCAAATCCCAATTTTTAAAATGTCTAAGATAAATAATGCATACCTCTATGACCAACAAAGATTATATCTATAGAAGCAGTACTAGCTCTAGAATTAGCTCATAAAAACACATGATATGAACAATTAGAAACCCATCATAACAACCCATCATTTGAAAGAAAGAAAAAAAAAAAAAAAATATTAAGATTTGATATCAAGATTTAACTATTACGATAATGCATTTGGTGGAAGTTATTATATGAGTGGATAGGAAATAGAGGGAGAAGATTACCATGTTTAATGAAGAAGAGAAGCTGATTTTCTTCCTTGAGGTGCTACATGATGGGGTGTGTGTGCATTGTTTTCATCATGGACCTGGCATGAGAAATCAGAATGTAATTATGTAGCCAAAGACAACTTGCCAACTTCGTTCCAAACCTTTCCTTTGCTTTGAGATAAGCAGCAAAACTGGGAGTTTAGTCGGCAAGTCATCCTTGGCTGCATTATGCCTTCTGAACCTGCATGCCAGAGCCATAGATGAGAGAGAGTAGTTTTGCCATAGAGAGAGAGAGAGAGAGAGAGATGTGTGAGTTGGGGGGAAGAGACTGAGAGGAGAGCATTGAAGGGGAGAGAGATATTTGGGGTGTTTATATAGAGTTCTGATAGTGAGAGGCTGAAAATAGTGGGGTGTTAAGATGGTATGGCAGAAATTGCATTATGCATTATCTTCAGTCGAGGAGATGAGGACAGGTCCTAGAAGTATCTAATGTTTGGCCCAATAGAATAAAGAGGAAGTGATAAGGTCTCTCTCTCTCCAAAACATATAAGAAACACAAGCTTATTGAGTCATAGTATTTAATCAAAATGCATCACTTCTGAAGTCACAGTGTATTTTAGGCAACTACTAGACTGGCATTGCTCATTCAACACTTAGAATGGAAATCACAGCTGAAATGATGAAGCATCTCATGAGCTTGTACTTGTTCTAAGAGTCCAATTGTGACATTTGATGGGAAAGATGGAAGCTATGAAGAGACTATCACCCACCCATTTAAGTGTATTTAGTTTGAAGGGGGGGAAAAAACAAAACAAAAAGTTAGGAAAGGGATCTTTCCATAATAGTTTTCTTTTTTCTGCTTGGATGGGGTACTTCATGAAGGCTTGAATTCTAAGCATTATGCTTTTCTTTTCAAAAAGAAGACTAAAAGATAAAGACCCTTCTTCCTCTTTTGGTGAATAACTGCAAGCACAAAACCTCAAAATATGGGAGAAATGAAATGGAGGATAAAAAGTGAGAGAGTGGAAGAGTTTCAATGGACTTGGTCTCTATTCTAGAGGAGAGAGAGAGAGAGAGAGAGAGAGAAAGGGAGGGAGGGAGGGAGGGAGGGAGGTGATAAAATCTAGGGTGATACAGTGGGGACTAGGGAACAAGTGGCTGTTGCAGGGATAGATAAAATTTTGCAGTAAGGGCATCCATACAATATCACCAAAGGCCACAGTTTGTAGAATATTGGCCTTAAAGGGGTGTAGAATATCTGCATAAGGACAAAGTTTATATGAGGTTGGAACCTTATATTTATATGAGGTTGCAACCTTATATTGTTGAAGTAAGGTATACCTCAAAAATCCTAGAGGAGAGTATTCAGGCATTGGAGAACCTTCCAAGTAATCATCTTGACATCGAGATAAATGGACGCAAAGAAAAAAAATAAGAATTCCAAATCCAAAAAATAGTGCACTTTGTAACAAGTTATGTGGACCATTTATTTTCAAGTGCTTTTTAATTATCTCAATCTTTACGATTTTTTAAATGTTAAATTTAATAACTGGGGGTGAAAAGTTATTTTCAAGCCATCATAAGTTTTGGATATTGAAACGACATCTCTAAGTAAAATTTATCGGTGCGCCTTATATCTATAGTATAAAGAGGCAACTTTATACAAACGTCACCCTTTACCTAATTTATCCCCCATGTTTTTTTACTAGAAATGTGTGTGAATCTTGTTTTATTTTTATTTATTTTTTTAACCCCAAGATTTAGAAGAAAGCAAATAAGGAAAAGGTTCTATTTATTCCCTGAGAGATAATCATAAAAAGTTGTTTTTCAAATGCACTTGCAGGTGAAAGAAAGCGATCTCATGAGGAGAAAAAAAAGGTTGGTTATCCTGGGGCAGAGGGGGACTCGTGAATCAAGGCATGCCATCACCATGGCTCTTGCTTTTAAAAAACCCGTTAGGTCAAATATAGCAAAACTTTTTTTAATAGAAAAACCCTAGAGAGAGAGAACAAAAGGAACCCATGTTGTATTTTTCCCCTTGAGAGAGAGAGAGAGACAACAAAAGGAACCCATGTTATATTTTTGCCCTTTTGAGGGTAGAAAGAGACCTTTTTTTTTTTGTCATTAGAGCCATTAACTTTAGCACAGTGAAATTTACAGTCTCTTTTGGATGCCATGCCCTCGATTTGGAGGTCTCTGTGCCTTATCCTCAAGTGGGTCTCACTATCTGTTCATGTTTAGTCCAAATCTCCCTAGAATTTTGAAAGCAAGTTTCATGATTTCAGTAGATAATAAGATGTATAGAGAGAGAGAGAGTCTTGGGATATGCCTTGTCAACATAGAAAACTACTGGAGTAAGTGATTTCTTTTTTGGCATTTAAGAGGTGAATTGAGAGAGAGAGAGAGAAAGAGAGAGAGAGAGAGAGAAGAGAGAGTACTTTTTGGTCATTGTAAGGGTGAATTGAGAGAGCGAGAGAGAGAGAGAGGATGGAGGCAACTTGAAAGTCAAAGCATAGGATTTTCTTTGAGGGATGAGAGTCACAAATCACAGCTGATTTGAAGTTTTGATCCTTTAGTTTGGTAGGTTTTTCCTAGTTGAGAGAAGCAACTTTTCATGGAAAAAGCACACTTATGAGAGAGGGATGGGGGGGGGGGCGGTGGAGTATGATTAAGCCAATATGCATGTGGGGAGTCACAATGATTTGAAATTTCGATTCTTCTATGATTGGTTTTTCCCTATCTCATGACTGAGGCCCTAAATAATCGAAGTACGAAGCACTTTCAAATAGTATCGAAATACGTCGTTTCCACATCGAAATCTTTATATTGGATCGAAAATTTATTTTCATTTCTTATAATGAAATTTTTAGCTTAAAAAATAATGTACCTCAAACAGATCTATGAACAATTGAAAAATCTTGAAATATACAGTTTAGATAGTAATGCATTACTCGATGCACTAGTTTCAAAGCTTGAGGTCTATTTTTTCTACATCCAAATATCTCAAGGTCAAGATGATTGAATTTGAGGGCTTTTCAATATCAAAAACAACTTTTTCTATTGATTTTTTGCGGCGTCCCCTTTTTTTATATAGAGAAATATGTTTTCCCTTTTTTTATATATAGAAATATTTTTTTTGAGGTACCCCTTTTTTTTTATAAATATATTTCTTTGAGGTGCCCCTTAATTTGATAATATGGGGCCTCAAACTTATATAAACTTTTTCCTCAAGGTAGTGTGCATGTGGGGAGTCAACCGATTTGAAATTTTGATTCTTTTTTGTGCTTGGTTTTTCCTAGGTGAGAGAAACAACTATTTCATGAAGAGAGAGAAAGAGAGAGAGAGTTTTGAGGTAGGGTCCCACGTGGGGTACCTTTTTTTTTTGTTTTTGTATTTGATTGCACGTGGATGAAATTTCGGGTAAAATCCAAGATCCATTTGCACGGAATTTTTGGTTTTGGGTTCAGTTCTCACCCAATAAAGAGGCCCCACAATTTTTTATTTGCGATACTTTGTTAACTTTGATTTGTGGCCAAGCATAAACACCGCACGTGTACAAGTCCAGAAAGCCCTTGTTCACACGTCTGACTATCGTGTGGCAGGCAGTTAACGACGTGAATTTATGCCTCAATCGATTGTGGAGCGGGCCGGGTCATCCCATCGGGCCCATTCGCTCATATTGAAGGCCCCATTGATGTCGTGGCTTGAATCCTACGCCAGCCCATAACTCCTCTGGCCCAAGCAAATGGCACCCAGTCAAGCGGTCCAAACCAGCATGTGGCCAGGGCTATGAAACCCTCGAGACCAATCCAAGCTAGGGGTGGCAATGGACCTAGATCAGATGTTCGGACCAGACCTAAGCCCAGGTATGCTTCGAAAAATTGGACCCAATATGACCCCGGTCCAAATAATGGACATGAACATTATTCAGGTCCAATCCATATGGACCCGACAAAGACCCAACCCAAAGAGCATTAGTATTTAAATACTTATTTAATATATAATATTTAAATAAATATAATTATATATTTTTAGTTATAATATTTAAATAATGTGTATATATTTAACATAATATTTAAATATATTTTTTATTTATTTTTGCATCGGGTCCAATCAAGTCCAGATCCAAGTTCGATAACTTCAAGACCAGTCGGGTCTAAATCTGGGCCAAACCTAGACCCAACCCGACCTGTTGCCATTCCCAGTTCAGGCCAATTTTAGCTTCACATGTGCCTTAATATCTCTTGATAGAGCAAAAAGGAAAACAACGTCAAATAATTGAGATAAAACTCAGATGATAATGACGAGAATGATGATGCTAATAAGGATGCAAATGGGCTAAACATCAAGTTAAAAAGGGTTGCAAGTGAGTTAGGTCCCGGTCGAGGTCAACTCCATAAGGGTCTAGGCCTGACCTAGGTCATGATCTGACTGGCTCTTCTGACCTCCTTGTTTAGAGGTGGAGGAGTCTTATAGCATATAAAATCAAATTATACTACTATTATAAATATTTGTCTTTTTGAGCGCACAGAATAAATATTTTTGTCAATCGGAAATAGTTTAATGACCTAGTTTGTCAACATTGCAATTGTATAACCTCGGCATTGTAGCTTACCATGTCGCATACATCACTTTTTTGGGGGGAAGATTTTATGAAGGTACAGTTTATATTTTAACCACTTTAGATCTCACCTTTTTACCTTTTTTTCTACTATTCCAATTCATCATGTGTAATTATAGATATTTTAAAATTAAATCAAAACATGCAAGTAAAATGTTAAACAGTTAATATTTCATATGTACTTTGACAAATTTCCCTTTCTTTATGAACTGTTTAACTAAAATTTCATCTCATTATGAAACATCTACAACAAGAGAGCTGTACACTAAAAAGCAAAAAACAAAATAAAACTATGCACCCATTATACTTTCCTTTTGGGAAGATTGGGATTTAGAGTACTTAAAGATGGGGGGCTTTTTTTGTTTTTTTTGAGGACTGATGTGAATACAGGCATTCAAATGAGGGGCCAGAGGAGCAACACTTCATCCACCATCAATAATTGAGAATAATAGTGGAGATTACACCGAGGAGTACTGCCTTTAAATAATGGGGGTAAATTGTGGCATTTTAGGTAAGAAATTTCCACATTGAGCTAGCACTTTTGTTTAATTGAGTATGGTGGCAGGTCCTCAACAGTCCGATATCAACAATAGATGATCGATCAACATCGATCCTCCAGTCAAATTCGATGTATTTTTAAACAAAATGAATTGTACTATCAACCATCCATTGTTACTAGGGCAAGCTTTTTATGCTTTCCCTACAGCATAGAAGTTCTATCCTCCCCCTTTTCCAACCGTCTATTCTGAATGGAGGGCTAAGATTGCCCCAATCACAATGTCACGTCTCTACGCTTATTTTTTTTTTTTTTTTTTCTTAGAAACTATTTTGACACCAAATTTTGGACACCCATTCCTCTATTAAACTCGTACTAGTGAAAAATATAAAAACATTATTTTCGATAAAATATAATGACCAAAATACCCCTGAAAGTTTCAAAAGGTATTTTGGTCATTATATTTTATGGAAAAAATTATTTTTAATATTTTTTATAGGTACGCCCCAATGAGAAGATGGCACGTACCAAATTTCATATTCATATAATTTGTATAAAAAAAAACTAAAAATAATCGAATCTAAGATCAAACGGTGAGTGGCTCTCTTGATCAAAATTGGACACAGTTGAGAAGCTAGTATTGTCCTAATCCACATGTTAATATAGTTGTCCTCAAACTAGGTTATGGAACTTGGAATATTATCTTTTGTAGGGTTGGTTTGAAAATTGGACACTTAAGGCATTTCGAAAAAGAACAATAGGTAGGATATAGTTGGGTGATTTGTATGAAATCCTTATTGACTTTCGAAATGATATGTAGAGCATGGTTGTCTCAAGAGCTTTATCAGGCAGCTGGGGCATCTCATTTCTCCTGGCAAAATCTGAGAAAGATTTTCTCGCATTGCACGCTTCATCAACTTGGGTTTTGACAAGACTTAACTAACGACAAAACTCGTTGGGGCTTTGCTCGTTGCCAGCCACTGGCTACAGGATGACGAAAAACAAGAAGCGTTATGACTCGATGACTTACAAGGGCGGTCAATGGGACTCCCCTCAGCTGTCTGATTTTACATCCAACAACAGGACTTTCTTAGACTTACAAGCGCGGCCAATGGCACTCCCCCTCAGCTATCTGATTTTATATCCAACAATTGGGTGATTATTACATTTTTGTACCAAAGACATACAGTCTTGTCGTACACTTTCCCTTAAGAAAAAGTCTTTTGAATAAGGGAACCAAAAGGAGGTTTTATCACATGTGCACATGGACATCAATTATTCAATGGTCTCAAACGCATAATGGAGCATGCTAGAGGCTGTTAATATGTATGGTTGCACATGATGTGCATGTGCATATGCATATGCCTACACTAGAGTTTCTTTCCAAAGAGAAGCAAATTCATGTGCACACATAGAAGTCTTGTATGCTAGTGTATCTTGCACCGTAAAAGCCTAGCCATGATTGAAGCAACATTAACTAACTGCTCACACCATGACAGAGGCTGTTAATATTTATGGTTGCACATGATGTGCCTATGCATATATAGTACAGTATTAGAGTTTCTATCTAAAGAGAACCAAATTTCATGTGCAACTTACACATAAAAGTCTTGTATGCTACTGTATCTTGCACCATAACAGCCTAACCATGATTGAAGCAACCTTGGTCAATCTAGGTTCTGGCTAAATTAAAATGTTTGATTATAAAGATGCTTATTGGTCCTTTAAGATCCAATTGCTCCCAAAGTTATAAGTTAGCCAACGTTGCATATACTTTGTTGTTTATTGGACTGCTCAACTGCATCCAAATTCTTATTTGTGACATGTGCATATAGATCTCCTTTCAAAAGGTTGGGTTCTTTTGGTGATTTCAGGAGGAAGGGAAGGGAAACATTTCTATGGCTTCTCATTCACATAATTTGTGTGTTTGGGATCAAATGGCAGTCAGCACGTTGATGACAATGTCAAAGTACTATTAACTGTTGTTATCAGGCTGCAATTAATGTGTGACATCTTTGTCGACTCGCTAACAACCATCCGATCAAGATCGAACAATTGTTAGTTTCCAAACACATAAAGTGTATTTCTATGGAATATAAATATTAGGAAAAGCCCATGACCATTACTTAGAGTAACCTATTGAGCAATATTGTTTGTTTGCCTTATTACATGTGAAAGGAAGGTGAAATGGTGAAGTGCACCAAACCCACAAAGGACTAGGCATGCTGGGCTAGTTTCCATTGTCAGTTCACCATTCATTCTCAAGAAGAGATGGTAGAGATTAACTCTCAAAAACTAGATTTGGACCATCTTTCAATGACTTGGTATAAACTACGGAGTCATGAACATAAATAAAAGAATTAACTGTATCAAAATACCATTTCTTCCAAGCATTCACATAGGCCTCATCACATAAAAATTAGCTCTCAAGAACTAGTAACCCCCTTCCAGTCCAAACCTGAACCCACATTGCAGAACAGAGCATGAATCAAGTGTTAATAAGATAAAAAGAAAGAAAATAAAAAAGGGAGAAACCAAAAAAAAAATGAAAAAATGAAAGAAAGAAAAAGCCAGAAACTCAGTGTAGTTACAGACCTAGTTTGGAAAGCAGCAGAGAGAATGCTAAGATGAGAAGAAACCCAATGAAGGGGAAAATAAGCCCGTCAAGGAAAAATCAATGTGTTTATGAGCCAACTAATGTGAATTAGAGGGGATTCAACCCTCCTCACTTAACCCCCAACCCACTGCATAAAAGTACAAAAGGAGTGTCCCTTTCTTCTTCTTCTTTTTCCATTGTTTTTTTTTTTTTACTTTTTTATAGTCGAAGATTCCAAGGTATAAGCAAATTCATCTATGAAATATTAAGAAAAGAGGGATTACCTCAGTTTTGCAGCCCCAAAACTATCGCCTGTAAAGGTACTTTGCTAGAGGAAAGTTCACGCTCCTTGCAATCTATAACACATTGCAAAAATACGAAGTTTAAGACAACCAAAGGACTGTTTGTTCCAGAACCATAATAAGTCAAAAAAACTTTGATTCCAAATGAGGAGAACAATATGACAATTTAATCTTGCATTCCCAAGAACTCACCTTCATAACCATGTCTTCATCAATTGTGGCCCGATAACGAGTTGAACCTTCAAGTGGGCAGCTTCCTCCTTTGCAAATAAAATTAGCATTGCAAAGAGTAGATAACTGCAATAGAACATCAGACATGAGCCCACAACTTCCAACTTCCTCAGTCAATCCATCCTCAACCTGCTCTCTCTCTATAGGACCATCTGTTACTGAAGTGATGCACTGAAATATAGCAAGCAATCTCTCCAATGGAAAAGTCCCTGGCCCCTTTAGTAGCATTTCCTGTGCAGCCTGATCCTTCTTCTCAATGGAAGTCACAGAACTCCTAGATACAGAAAATTTAATGATATATCCAGTTGCACTAATATCCAACAGGGCAATTGTTTTGCAATACCAAACAACAGCTTTTTAGATTGGTTAAATTGATGCCAAAGATTACCAAATAACTGCTGGAAACGCGATAGAAATTCTAGTGCAGGAAACCCACATGTGAGTCTAATTGACACAAGTTCATGCAGAGAGAATTGCCATCGTGTTAGGGTAAGTAATAGTGATAAAAGACAATTTGTACACTGAGTTTATGCAGATCTTAAAAATGCAGAATTGGGCAATAGAGGATGAAGCATGTCGTTAGTGTCATCAAGAAGGCTAAGTATATCCTTTTCTCTTTTCCGTTTTTTAGAAATGTAACACAAAAAATCTCCGAACCCTAACAGGTATGTTTCTAAGATGGAAAATTCATCAAGAGACCAACTGTAGAATTCAGATTTTTTTTTTTTTGTTGATAAATTTTGTAGAATTCAGATTATATCTGTAGAGGAACCCATTAACCAAAGGAAAAAGTTTATATAAGGTTGCAACCTTAAAATGTAGAATTATAGATGCACCTCAAAACTCCACCGGAAAAGGATGTTTTAATGTTGAAAAAACCTCTAATTGATCATCTCGACATCGAGATGTATGAATATGAAAGAAAAAAAAGATTTTGAGTCCAAGAAATAGTACATTTTGCAATACATTATCTAGACCGTTCATTTTCAAGATTTTCATATGTTTATAGATCTGCTTGATTTTAACCATTTTTGGAGTTTAAAACTTTATAATTAGATATGAAAATAGATTTTGAGATAATCCTAAGAATTTTTTCACCAAGAACACATGTTATGATAAAATTTGGACGTACGCCTTAATTGGATTGTTTAAGGTTGCAACCTTATAGAAACCACACCCTTCACCAAATTGACAAATTATTATTTCATAACTAAACAAAATAATAATGAAAAAGACATCACAGAATCAGTGAGATACGTACTTTCTCTTCCTTTTTCTATTATCAGACCCTCCAGTTGAATCAAATAATGCTGCATCAAGAGTGGCAGGGTTTTTCGAAGCAATGAAAGCCGAAATAAGCAAATACTTTGCAGAGTCAGACATCTGAAAATCCACCTCATAAACAGTTTCCCCACTGCCTTGTTTTCTCAAAATCCCCTTCCTTTTTTCCTTCTCCTTGTTGGTCTCAACAATCGTTCCTGATTCAACCTTGAAAACTTGATTCAAAGATGGCATTATGTGGGGTTGAAGGCAAGAGAACAATTTTCGCTTCATTGCTTCATCAGGAATCACTCTCAAATCACTCAGAGGCTCACAATATTTCCGAAATAACGGCACCAAGGCAACCGACAATTCATCTACTCTTTTGGTGAGCCGGCATAAGGTCTTCAAAACAACACTGTCTAATGCCAAATCAAATGAATATCCCATTAAGAACCATGATAAACATGAAAATATCTTTAAACTACTGCATATACACGTATAATTTATGGGATTGTCTACAAAGAGACCATCTATCATTTGTACATGGAGGTCACAATTATTCTTATCCCTTAAATTTCAAAATGGGTAGTTGTATAAGTGTAATTGAATAGACACAAAGTCCAAAAAAAAAAAATTCTCAGACTTCGTGACCCACCTCAAGCCATCCAATTTGGCAGCTAATAAGTGAGAATGATTGCGACCTCCATATACAAAAGATAAATGGTCTCTTTCTAGACAATCCCATATTTTATACATGAAAGTTCTATATTTAAACCTCTAATGCCAAACCAAAAACCCCATCAAAGAACATAACTTTGACCCATTTCATAGAAGGAAAAGTTGTTTGTGAGTCAAGGGGCGCATGTCTTCTCTGACCCATTGTACTTCCATCTTAAGATGGACATTGAAAAAAAAGAAAAAAGCACGCAAATAAAGAGTGAAAAAAAGTTAAAAAACACACTCATAAATTTAAAAAAATTATCTATTTTTCATATTCAAGATAACCATGGCTTGGATCATGAATCTATTAAAAATTTAAATCCATATTTTAGATGGACTTTAGAGGAGGGACGCACATCTGCGTCAGGGGATTCAGAGAAATCCGTCCTTCATATAAACACATATTCACCCATGGAAAAGTATAAAGATGAAACATACTAGTAAGAAACATCTGAATGCTACACCTTCAAATTGAAGAGCCCATCAAAGAACATCACAAACACAAGAATACCTTTGAATTAATTCATATTCCCAAACTATATTTTCATGAAAAGAGTACAGAGCTAAAGATTAGCTGACAAACAACACAGTCAAGAGAAGGGAACAAAATCGCAATCAAATAACATTTGACACACAGTCCAATAGTCGCAAAAACTCTACTTACCCAAGAAAAGAAGAATAGAGCTTGGGGTTTGGTTGGCCTCTCATGAAGATCTGATACAGCTCCTCATCTGTATAGCTCGGGAAGAAGACGGGCACTAGCTCCATTAATCCAGTATTCCCATAAAAACTGTCTAAACTGGCGCTGCTAATAAAAACCAACCCCAATTCTGGCATCTTGAGAAGATCGCCCATCTTAAACAGCACGGAAACCAGAGCCAAACCACTATCCCAATCCCGAATCATCTCGACATTGTCAAATATCAAGTAAATCATCTCCCCAGCCCCACAATTCAAAGAATTCTTTGACCCTTTGGGTCTTTGGTTCTCTCTAATTGTGGCAATGGTGTGGACCAATGCTTCTCTAAGAAAATTCATGAAATCTGAGGCCTTTTCACACCTTTTGGCACTGGCATAATTGTTGGTACTCTGTTTTCCATGGAAAAACACCTGGTTCAATACCGACTCAAACAAGAGGCGAGGATTGTAGCAAGATTTGCAGCTTGAGTAAACAAAAGGACGGTTCAGGTGCTTGAAAACATGTAAAAGGACACTGGTTTTTGCCGAGGAAGGGCGGCCATAGATGAAAATGGGTTTCATGGGTGAATTGGGGGGTCCAATTAGGTGCAACAGTTCATCGATCTGAGCCTTTCGGCAGGGATAACTACTATATAACTGGTCAAGTGTAATGGGTTTTGGGAATAGAAGGTAATCTGAAAATGACGCTTTGGTATTCTTCAAAGATCGAGAGCCAGGTTTTGGCTTTTGAGGCGAGTTTTGTTTAGGGGTTGTTGTTGTTGTTGTTGTTGTTGAGGAAGAAGAAGATCGAGTAACTCTTATTGGGGTCTTAACAACCGTTTCCGAGTCACCCATTTCTCCTTTTTCCTAAGAAACTGCAGTACTGGGGATTGGGGTTTTTACTGAGACACCCTTCTCTTCTTCTGCACTTTCTCCTTCGTAGAGATTAGAGATTAGAAATCTGCTCCTTCTAGAGAGAGAGAGAGTTCATCTTCCTTAGAGAGAGAGAGAGAGAGATGCAGGTTTAGGGCTTCAAAGTTAAAAACAGAAGGGGGAGAATGGCGGGAAATGACGTGGCAGGAGAATCCACGTCATCAATGGCACGCGAGATGCAACTAACGGAAAAAGGCCGCGTCCTTATCCACCGTTGAACAGAATGGAATCAATGGCAACGAAGGATAGCAGAGAAGATAGAACAGAGAGAGAAATGGGAAAATCGTGAGGAAAGGAGCCCTGGTTTCCCATCGTCAAATAAATGACCGGTGCAGATCAAGCTATTGTACCCTTAAAATAGCGTCTTACTGAAAATGTTTTAACCCCAAGGTCATGACATGCAATTTTGGTGCCAAAGGTGCGAGAATCTATTTTGATTTTTAATTATAAAATTTTAAATTTCAAAAATAGTTTAAATCGAGCTAAACCCGTGATGCACATTGTAACCTTTATGCGTCACAGGTAAATAAAAGCAATTTAAATACAGACGATTTAATTTGGAATCACCTGATCTAAATCAAAAACTGATAAAGGACAAACCTGTTCTTGATGGAATCCGAGAATCATAACTAAAAATGGGCTAGTCACCACATTATTTTCTTATTATTTTCAATTATTTATTTTTATTTTGAATTTTTTTGTTAACTTTTTATGGGCCGATTCTCTCTACCATATTACCATTAAGACCGTTTTCTGATGGCCAGTTCAATACGGCCCACGGTTTTAAAAAATAACCTAGAGCTAATAACTTGTGAATGAAAATTGAGAAAAGCTTTTCTTTTCCGTTCTTTGGAGCGTAAAAGATGTGAAGGGTTTATGATCTTAGTCTTACTAGCTAATCTTACTAGCTAAACTATTATAATCGTCATAATCTTAACTCCCAAAATATCCTTATTGTTAATCATTAGTCCATCCCTTAGTTGTTAATCATTAGTCCATCCCTTAGTTGGCAATTCGTGCAATGGAAATACATAGGGATGGATATCTCTATGATTAGACCAAAGAGGCCAAAGCTTACGCAGAATTGGCCCGAAGCGGCAGTATCAGACTTTTTGCTTGTCTTCGGTCTAGGTCTAAAATATGAAAGCCTAAACCTTCATCATCATCATATCCTTATACCGTCTAGTTATGGTCAGCACGAATCCCATTTTACCTTTTTTCCCTCTAAACACACTATTAGTAGAAGGAAAAAGTTTATTTAAGGACGCTACCTTATAAAGTAGAACTACGGATGCCCCTCAAAAATCCATTCGAAAAAGTAGTTTTAATGTTGAAAAACCCTTTGATAGATCATCACGACATCGAGATGTATGACTATGAAAAATATAAAGATTTTAAATCTCAAAAACAGTACATTTTCCAACATATTATCTACACCGTCCATTTTCAAGATTTTCATAGATCTACTTGATTTTAACCATTTTTTATATTAAATTTTTTTATAATTAGATATAAAAATAGATTTTGAGATAATCCTAAGAACATTTTACATCGAAATTAGATACCATGATAAAATTTGAAGGTGCCTCTTACCTCTACTCCTACGGATGCATCCGTATGCCAACTGCACCCTTACTAGAATAGTGATAACATATTTAATAAAGGTTGTGGTCTGCATAGAGCCGAAGCTCTAAACAATCAAAGTAAAATACACCTTCAAATAGTGTTGAAAAATGTGCTTTCAATACTGATAATCTTTATGATAGCCTTAAAATATATTTTTACCTTTAATCATAAAATTTAAAGCTTCAAAAATAATGTACTTGGTGCAGATATATTAAAACTTGAAACTCTTGAAAATTGACGATCCAAAAATGCACTATTTCCAAATTTTGAAATCCACTTTTTTCTCATGTCCATATATATTGATGCCGAGATGATCAATTTGAAGATATTTGAGCATCTAAACATCTTCTAGTGAAATTTTAAGGTGGGCTCTAATTTGATTATTTAGAGCCTAGGCTCTATATAAACTTTTTCAGTTAATAAAAGCTCTCAATTAAATGCCTGGAATTTTGACTTCACAATTCACATCATGGAAAATACTCTCTCTCTCTCTCTCTCTCTCTCTCTCTCTCTCTCTCTCTCTCTCTACTACTACTCTACGTACTACGTACTACGTACGTACGTACGTACGTACGTACGTACGTACGTACGTACGTACGTACGTACGT